AGTGGCTGAGGTGGAATATATCATCCCTCGATTATTGATAACGACGGGGTGGTGAACAATATTTGTCGTCTCAGGAAACTGTTCACGTATGCATCGCGATATGGCTGCGGCATTCTCCCCTGATCCGTATTTATCCACTTTCAGTTTATAAGTACAATCCATTCGGTACGCGTCACAGATGGCCACGTCCACAATGTGAACCGTAGAATTTCTAACCGCAAGCAGGTCTGGCTTGATGAAGGACGTGGCTGTCGGCATCCTCGGCTCCATAACAATGTTAATGCTTCGGCTCCGCAATTGCCTGGCCATCTGTTGAGCAATTTCATTGTGACGTTTACCGCGGACATCATGCGTGATGCAGCACGCCTGAAGAACATGTGACAGAGTCTCTTTCTGTCCGCAACTCCCGCGGCAGTTGAGAGAAGTCGGGTCATTTGTAGATCTGCCTCTGCTCCGTCGCGTTTTGGTAGAAAGAACACCCCCCCCCCGTAGTTGGACACCCCGTATGAAAAGACGTGGAAAAATCCTGGTGGGGTCCCTCAGCCAGTGGTGAGCGGAAGATGACGTGACCACATTTCGCAAGGGAGAGCCATCCACTGAAGCAAAAAAGCGTCTCTCCAGGCTTCCGCAGCTGAGCTTTTATCCATGACGACGCGATTACCGATGGTAACAGTGGAGCGCGCTAGACGATGGATGGCAGCGGCTGCAAGGTCCGGATCGCCCAACTGGTCACTGGATGCCAGTTGGCCAGGTGTCGTTCCAGCCTCTCCTTCCGTAGCAGGGGAATACTCGTTGACAGACACGGAATACCCAAACCAATGCTCGCAATGGGAGCGTGAAATATGCAATGGAGGTGTCTGACGGCAAGCGCAGCCATTTGCTGACGTGTGATCTGACAATGCGTTCCAACCGCTTCAATGTATTCCGGTGAACCACTGCCAGAGCTAACTGATGAACATGCTTGGGGAGCAGATAGGTCCTCAGAATCTCAAGTCGTTGTTGTGGTTTAAGCGGTGCCTTGGTAACTTCGTTAAGTTGCACAGTAACATCGTCCATTACTGTTAGAGGGAGCTTACCCTTCCAGATAAAAGGCAGGCCCAACATCTTGAACTTTTCATCGGGCTGAATGGAGGGAATAAAAATAGGACCACAGTCCAAAGCATTCGTATCCAGTATGGTTTGTTTGCGAGCGCAATCAACAATTATATTTACCGAGAATGATTTTAGATGGTTGATGTTGGGGCCGACGCACTGCAGTCGTTGATGGAATCGCTGAAGGTGATCTCCCAGAGAAACGCGGTCTTGAGCAAAGATGATCACGTCGTCCGCATAAGCGAGGTACTCAATCAGGCCAGCCGGTGATATCCAAGGCGAAGTGGCGACTCCGTGTAAAACTTCATCTAGGGACATTATGAAGAGCAAAGGTGAAAGCGGATCTCCTTGCCGGACCCCTCTATCAGGATGTAGCTTGACATCATTAAAGATTGGGGACGCAGAGCTGTAATACGATGCCAAGTAATCTAATAATAGCGGGGTGGCTCCGAAAGCAGCTGCTGCTCGAAGTAAGGAGTGACGAGAGTTGGAATCGAACGCCTTCGAGATATCCACTGCCGCAAATGAAAGGGGGTACGAGAAGAATGAGAATGGCGAAGAGCAGCATGGAGTATGGACGGGGCTTCGAAAGCGCTATCTTTACGAAGAAAACCAAATTGAAGGCGGTCGGTAGGGAAAGTCGGAACCCAACGATCAAAGAGGATACGATGAACAAGGCGTGTGAAGACAGATGTAACTGTGATTGGACGGAATTGGTCACGGGAGATGGGCTGGGAAACTTTTGGTACGAAGGTGATCCGAGCAGTGTTCATGTGGATGGGAAATGGGTAGGAAGCAAGAAGACAGTTGAGAAAAGAAGTTACAAAGTAGGGATCCATCCTTGAAATATCGGCTGACTTGATGCGGTCTACACCGGGAGCCGAATCCCGCATCTGTTTGAGAACACTTTGCATCTCCTCCAGGACAATTGTCTTCACCAAGTCATCATTAGCTGGAAGGAATCGACGCGGTGCGCGCTCGTCATTAGCAGAAGGTCTGGAGAGGACATTCTTTTAATATTCCGTGAAACCTGGAATGTTCTCGTCCTCAGTAAGAAAGGCAGTGTGCCATCTTCCGTCAATCAGCATACTTGCAGCGTCTTTCCGGCGGGTATGATAAAGACGTTGAATATGGCCATACTGTAGGCGTCGCCGGTGCTGATTGTTTCGAATCTTAACGGTATGTACACGTCTTTTCGAAGGCCTCCATCTGTGTGGAAAGAGAGTAGCACACACATCGTTTAGGGCCTCACTAAATGCTATCCTCGATCCATCAGCAGCGAATGAATTCACAAGATTCCGAAGTATGCGGTGTTCCTCCTTGGCAGGAGAGACGCAGTTGCAAAGAAGCTGTTGGGCAGCTAGCAGCAGAGTGCGGAATACCGGTGTTGGCGCGGACGCAATGGAAGCTTCGTAATTAGAATTGGAAGCTTCTGGTTGATCCTGTACCGCAATGGCCGTGGGGCACGTAGTAGACGGAGGGGCCATAATACCAGCTGAAGTTTCGCTAGAGAAACTTATGGTAGACGACTGCTCCTGAGGGCATACTGTTGCCTCTGGAACTAACGCTGCAGATGAGTGAGGCGAGGTTGAATAATCTATCGAGGCAGTGGGGGTGGTACATTGAAACGCAAATCAAGGTCTGAGGAGGCTGTGGTCACTGCAGGATTGCCTTCGTACGATTCTCGAGGGGTTTGTGTAGACACACCCAAGTTAGTAGTTAATGTGGGCTGAGGTTGATGGAATTCATCGGATGTTATGGTTAAGAAGGGTGACGCTCGTACGGTTCCATCTGGAGGTGTGATTGGATGTTTGGTTTCAGTCGATGGTTGCGGAAATGCACTGGAAGTGGACGTTGTGTGGTGTTGATGAAGGAACCATCTAAGTCGTTGCAAGCGTTTCCTGATACCGTCCCTGGTGCGAAAGGGGAAGACGCGCCTCAGTCGTTCTAAAAGGATATTTAAGGAAGGAGACGTAACCGCAAAACCTGAGGCTGCTAAAAGTGGGGATTTGTCATCCCTGGCTGACCAGTTGTAAGATTGCCTCGGTAGTCGGGCTAGACCGTCTGCATTGTAACTGACAGGATGCTGATGTCTCCAATGCTCAGACAGGCCATTTTTAGTAGAGAACGTACGTTGACATGTTGGACATTCGAAACTGGAAGTATTCCTGGCAGCGGCTGTGGTAAGTAAACTCGTAGGGTTCCTGAGATGGGCCGCCAAATGGCGCCGCAGGTTGCTCCTAGATTTAAACGTCCTCGAGCACAGCGAACAAGAGGGAGGCTGGAGTACGTCAGAGATCGTCGCCGGATCGGAGGCGGGAGGTTTGCATGTTGCTAAAGTAGCTTCGGCAGGAGCAACTCTTCGTCGTGGTGGTGGCAGCAACTGAGGGAGGCGATCAAGTAGTACACATGGTTGTCGTGATCCCGATGGTAGGGCTATAGGTGATAAGGGTGGGTGTGTGGGTGACGGGTGGACGCCGTTCCGAGAGCTGGCTATGGGGTCGGCAGAGGCCGGTCCATTTGATTCGTTGAAAGAGCAACCAGAAAATCCACTGCTCTGACTCTGCAGGGCAGGGGACGAAGGGAAACAGGTGGGAGCCTGCGCCGCGGGCCGTTCATAGGCCCCTATCCGCGGCTGGGGTGAGGGGGGTGCACCGAGTTGGGCGTGTATAAAATGACATTCGGGTCATTGGAGGGGTCAAAATCTGGGGCGTTGGTGATAAAAGGGTTGTTGGGCGATCCGGGACGACAGCGGAGGTGCGAAATAGCGAAATAGAGTAAAATATTTCCAAGTATAAAGTACTTCCCATTCTTTGTTGCTGTCAGAGGCAGATGGTAAACTGGATGAGGTACGAGAGGACGCTGAGCCAGTGGAAGGCGCAACTGGAGCAGAGGGGCGATGCGATCGATTCTCTGGAGTGGGTGACGCGGTCTCTTTGGATGCTAGGGATATCACAGGAAAGCTCGGTGTGTATTGCTCCGGACTGTGGTTACTGATTGTGTCCTCAGTAATATTATCGGTTGCACCCGTCGTGGGTGTTAACGACTGTTGAGGTTGGTGGCGTTGAAGGCGGCGGCCTGGAGGGCGTTTCCATTTTAGAAATTGGAGCCGTTTCCTTATTGCTATCATCGTTCGGAAGGGGAGTATAGTTTGTAAAAGTAGCAGAAGCTGCGCTAATGAAGATACAGATTCGCCTAAATGAGCTGCGTGCAGTAATAACTGAGCATCTTCCTCCGCAGACCAGTGTACTGAGGATATGGCTGCTCGGGATGACAGCATATCTTGGTAAATAGTGGGGTGTGCCTGGCGGCAGTGAGTGGTAAGCGCTCTTGCTGAGGCGAATTGACGATTGCGTTGTTGGCATGACATCACCGGAGCACCGCGCATACGTAGATCGTTGGGATGTCTTTTGTGGTATCCGGTATGGCGAGTAAGACCAGCAGCCGTCGAGAAAAGAGCGTGACAGATATTACAGGTGTAATTTTGCAACACGGTGTGAGGAGTCGAAGGTATGGCGGAGGTTGACATTGTTGGTTGTGGAATGTTGTTTGTTGCTCCGTCGATGTGCAGTGATGGGGAATTCATATTTGAGATGTGTGAGTGAATATGTACACGGTGCATGAATCCGCGGTCGACTAAAAGAGACTATCCATAGGGCTCAGGCCACAATAAGTGAAAAATAGGAATAAAAGCTAAGGCAGAAATGGGGAAAGGAAGTGGTGTAGGCGAGAAGGATAATGGAAGAATTTATAGAATGCACGAATTACCCCAAGTAAAATATGATTGAGATCCAAACACGAGCATAAAAATTCTCTGGCTAGTCGGTCAGGGCAAATATTGTTCGCAGCATGCGTAAAACGACAAAAACGGACAAATAAAAATAGCGATTGCCAGAATACTCCCGAAAAATACCAAGGTAGGTGGACAACACTTGAAAGCCCAGAAAAATACCCCTACTTCAATCACAATTTATCAGCAACATCTGTAAAACATCAAAAAATAAAAGCCCCTCTAACAACGTGAGACCCATGACGATCGTAAAGCGTTGGCGAAACTTCGTCCAATTAAGATGAAAACCAGGCATGCGAGGTCAATGTGGTATCAATCAATAACACTATAGGTCAGATATGCCGGCAAAATCTTTGCAGAGTGTTGATCAAAATTTAGCCTAAACTGACGAGAAGCTATTGGGGGCGATCAATATCAAACATCGGTTCATCAAAAGGAGGCTCATCAAGAGCAAGCTAAAAGTTTGGAGTTTTCTAGGAATACAAACCAACATGCATAAAAAGACTTTGTAAAAAGCACAAGCAATGTATATAGTATACAATAACAGCGAAATAATTGTATGTACGCATGTTGAAAGCATAAAATCCCCTTAGAGAAAATCCTTATAAAACGACATTGCAGTAGGAGGCTCAGCCGGAATATGACATATAAAAAACAAATGTAGGCTAATCCCACGAAATTCATGAGCGTAAGATGACTTAAAAGAAAGAGCATAAAAAACTACATAAGATGGATATAAAATGTAAGAAAAACGTAGCCCAAACCCTACGGAAAAACCACTTTAGTCAGACTCACGGTACATGTTGCACAAGTGAAAAGGTTTGTCACAGTTTTTGTAAAACAGTTGTGAATTTGTCCAAAATTCTTGTTTCAGTAAACTCAGTGCACAGTTTCCAGCAGAACAGTGTATAATAATCCAAATTCCGTCGACTTGGCAAGAAGAAATCACACAAAACTGCCGGAGCACAGTAAACACGTCCGCCCTTGCGCCCTCGTGCACGATTCGTGTAACATTGCTTGCTACCTTTGCCCTTGTAAACTGGTAGCACAAGGACATCCTTCAGCTCAGGACGCACCTCCTCCTCCATCCATAAGTGTTGCTCCAAGTGGTGCAGCGCAGTCAAAAACGCGGGTCCGCCCTGCTTCAGTACTTCAGGCGGGATCCCATCAGCTACGGCGCACTTGCCGTTTCGCAGCTGAGCAAGTGCGCTCTACGCCTCATCCAGTGTCGGCGTGTCCGCCAGACTCTTCGTCACATCGTGCTGCTTCAGGCAGTTCAAAGTAGGCCAGTCGATCTCTGAACGGTTGTTCAAGAGAGAGTCAAAGTGTTTTCGCCAGATCTGCATTATGTCTGCAGTCTGTGTGCAGGTAGCGCCTGAACTACCATCGATCAGTGTCCTCAGCGGCTCCAATCTCGGTCCATACACCGCCTTCATGAAGTCAAAGAATTGCTTGTGTTGGCGGCGTTCGGCGTAGCATTCCATCTGCTTCGCTTTCCCTGTCCACCATGCATTTTTATGCGACGGAGCTCTCGGGTCAGTCGCTGTCGAATTTTGCTAATCTTACTCTTCTTTTCCAAGTCACTGGGGTCTACCACATGTACAGCAAATGCTGCATTCTTCCCCGACACCAATGCACCCATCGTCGCGTTGTTCTCGTCAAACCAATCAGGGCGCTTACAGTTTGCATGCCCGATGGCTTCCTCAGCAGCAGCTGTCACCTGGTCGCGAATGTGATGCCACAGGTCGCCCACTGTGGCTATGCAGTCCCCATCACACAGACGTGCAGCCGTCGCCTTCTCCAGCTCAGTATATTTCGCACCAGTACCGAGGAAGAGAACGTTAAATTTACGCCGATTCACGGCGGGAGTGCAGTACATGGATTTACGAGAACATATGTACAGTTTATTCCACACCAATTTGTGAGCAGTGCCACACTCAGCTCCATACAGTACACGTGCCATGCGCACTTCACGCTTATCAAGCTGACGTATGATGACATAGTCCAGCAGGTGAGCGTGACCACTCCGTGGGTGCGTCCAAGTTGCTATACCACTCGCACTCAGTGCAAACCGAGTGTTCGTGATCGTGAGGCCGTGAGTGGCACACAGTGAGAGCAGTCTGTCACCGTTCGCATTCGCTGAACCAATGCCATGCAGACCGATAACATCTGTCCACACTGGTGCATCACGCCCACCGCGCACGTTGAAATCACTCAGCAGAAATAGTCGGTCGCTCCTCGGCACAGACCGTATCACGGAGGATAGCTCAGTGTAGAACTGATCACGCGTGTCATCAGGATAACACATAGTCGGACCGTGTGCTTACAAAAGTAGCAAACTTACATCTTCCGAGTCGTAGGCGAACAGTCATCAGTCGCGGGCTGATGCCCGTTGGTTCTCCCACCAGCTGGCCCTTGTAGCGATCGGATATTGCAAATCCGACCCCATGTTCACGTGGTGCTGAGGTGGCGTTGCCCACCCAGTAGAATGTGTAGCCAGCACCTGCTTCATGTAACTTATCTTGCTCAGCGAGCCGAGTTTCACTGAGCGCCGCAATGTCGATGTGGTAGCGCGCTAGCTCCATTGCGACCAGTGCAGTGCGTCGCTCCGGGCGCTCGCTGGAGTTCCGGTCCAGTAGAGTGCGCACGTATCAGCACCCGATGCTGAGTGCTTTGCGCGCAGGCATACGATTTCATTGGTGGGCAATCGCACGCGAGGTGGTCGTTGTGCTTCGGAGGTTTGCTTGAGGGACTCCACCCGGAGCCTTTGGCTCAACAGCCTGACCCACAAGGCAGTGGAGAGCAGATCCAGCTCGGGAATGTGATTGCAGAGACAGATGGGGATCTGCTTTACGGCCGTCACACGCAACCTTGGAGGTACTACAACGATTCATATATGTTTTGTCACTGTAATAGGATACACCTGCGACCACGGCCAGACGCAGGTGGGTTTTTGGCGGGTTTGCACCAATTTGACCAGGGGCTGCCTGGCTTGAGGCGGGCTTTAGGAAAGCATTGAACACCCGGAAGTGTCCTCCCACCGTCAGAGACAATGCGTGGCGCTCCTGCTCTACGCCAATCGAGCTGTGAGCTTATAACCCGTAAACCTGTTGTCTCCCATGGTTAGGTATTACGGGAAGACGGCCATCGACCACTTCCTAACCTCCGAAGAGGATGGATTAGGATACTGGCAGGGTGCCCACACCTGGCAGGAGAAAGACCCGGGTCCTCAGCCAAAGCCTTCAATCAAATGAACACCCGAAAGGCAGCAGGTCTAGCACATGATCAGTTCGTCGACTCATGCGGATTGGTGTCCTGGATCTTAGCAGGGAGAAGGGCGAAACCCAACTCCCACCCAGCGGTCGCCACGAGGAGGCGCTCAGGACATGAGCAAATGGCACTACAGTAGCAGCAGTGGGTAGACCATCTGTCAGGATCTAGCCACCACCAGCCTCAGCGCACCATAGGCTCTCCCGCCCCATCTATAATGACTTACCTAGTTATCTACTTGTAAGATACCAACTCATTAGATTAGCGGGTTCGGTTCCGAGAAGCCAATCGACTTCCGACCGCACTCCATCGATATTGCAACGCAATTGCGGCTTTCTCAGGCGCATCTATTGCTAGTCTACACTTGCATAATGAAGTATAAAAGCTGAATGCCTAGCGCAATATGGACAGTTCCGTTGCCCAATTGCCTTTGATTCACTGGTAAACTGCGAACTCAAAGAATACCGTTGTTATTTCTGTAATAAGGCTCCGAAGCATATTTTTTGATCGTTTTCTGAGTTCGCATCGAGTTATCATCCGTCCTTACAGTACTACATAGTTGGACTGGCCACAAACTCAAGCAGTGAATTTGGAGTTTCTGTGTGCATGGACAGGCATTTCTAATGATGGAAAGCTCAGCTGACGTTCATTATGTCAAAGATACTTTAGAACCAATCGGGAATTCCTGATATTGCAGATTGAACACGTATGGATATTTTCATAATTTATTGTTACAACGTTTTACCTTTGCAACACAGCTTTACTTAAGCGTTAAAATTGGAAGGCGGCAGCAACAGCACTTTAAAAAAGCGCTGCACATTTAAAATCTTTTACCTAAAGCTCGGGTACCGCTAGTGGCTAGGTATAGCTCTTTACTTGTTTATATATTCTTAACTTTGCTTAGGCAGCACGCGGTCAATGTGCAGTCCGTGCTTTCCCGTTCGGTTGCATGTACGTACACTTGACCAGAAGCTAGACGGTCAGGGTGCATCGGCTTGTCATTCACTTGACGGAATCACATGTATTCCCATTCATATGGTCAGGTGATTTAGGGCCAACGTAGTCACTGGCGATCGATTTGACAATTCAACGCTGAATATTTGTAGCAGCTGGGCATACGATAGACAAAGGTTTTGACAGTTGTTTTGGGACAGCCGAAGCCAACTGGAGTGCATCTAGTGGATAGGAATTATCGCGCTGTTCAAACCGACAAAGGGTTTTCAAGTGACCGGATTGACTGTCGATATATATATATATATATATATATACATATATATATATTTATAAGATATTTATGAGATATTTATAAAATATAAACCTAGAGCTAGCGAAAACCATGAAATGCAGGTAATAAACACAGAACCACAAAGAAGAAGAAAAGGATGAAGGTTGAAAAAAGGCATTATTTTTGAATCACGTATGTCCTTTTGACTTTTTTCACACGCCTTTTTATCTTTTTTGTCTGTTTACTGTTTGCGATGTAAATCATAAGAATTAAAACAAATATTCGTACACATTTTCCATTGGGCTCTGTTCTGCGCCATGTCTGAAAGAGTTTTCAGCCAGCGGTGTTCTCCATCTTTTATCTCCCAGTCCGAAAGGCGCAGGGAACTACGACAGCCAAACTGGAAGTCAGAGCTTTAATCCTTTGTCGTCACTCGGTAGGCTGACCACCGCGCGGTTCCTTCCAGCCTGGTCCTGTACGAGCGTAGAGAGCGCGTCGGAGCAGTCGTTCGCATGGCATACGTTAAACGTGGCCCAGCCATCTCAGCTGGCGCAGCGATACCAGTCTGTCAAGTGGAAGTCCCCTGTTACCCAAAACGCGACGTCTAACATCCGTTTCGCACGTGGTTCAACCATTACACTCGAGCTATTCTCCGCAGACATCCATTCTCAAAGGCCGAAATCCGATGCAAGTCACTCACACGAAACAGCCAGGACTCACTCCTATACAGCAGCACCGCGCGAACGCAGGCATTGTAAACCCTGCCCTTGACCTAGTGAAACGTCCTGGCGTCGACACAAATGCCTCAAGTTGGTGAACACCGAAAGGGGCCTTGGCGATGCGGAGGGAAATCTCTTTTCTAATGCGACCATCGGCAGAGATACAGCTTCCCCGGTACACAAACTTGTCCACCTGTTCAAGCTGCATACCTTGAAAAATGAGCACTGTTGCAGGTGGATGCTAATCCAGGACCAGGACTTTGCAGTTCCTAGGGGCAAAGGTCATACCAGACCGTGTGTTTAGTGCGTCATCACCAAGCAAGGCAATATAATCAGCATAATCTAAATCGATCACGCGGTTGCTAGGGAGAAGCTAGACGCCAGAACCCTGAAGCCTTCGAAGAGAAACGGGGACATGGGGCAATCCTGTCGTACACTGCTAGTGAGGGCAAAAGGTGAAGAGAGCTTACCGTAATCCCTCACTTTACCTGAGACATTACACTATAATGCCCGAAGGATGGCGATATACTTTTCTGGTACTCCATTGTAAGCAACATCATAAAGCTGGCCGATCGAAGGAGTCGAAAGCGGCTCGGATGTCTAGAAAAACAACGATAGTGAGCTGGCGGTAAAGATGATGCGTTTCAAGGAGTTGGCGGAGAATAAACAAGTGGTCTATCCACCCTCGACCGGGGTGGTAATCAGCCTGTTCTTCACGGGGGCGCAATTCTCGAATAGGGCTTAGTCTGTGGAGTAGAATGGATATTAACAGCTTGGAGGCAAAGGACGTTAGACTGATTCCTCGGTGGTTAGCACATAGGGTGTAAGCACTTCTCTTGAAGACCGGGACGATAATTGACACGCTCCAAGCGGATGGAACTGTTTCTTCACACCGGACCTTAGAGAACAGTGCTGTTAGGTGTTTGACAAATGCTTCTCCACCTAACTTGAGTAGCTTCTGGAGAAGTCCGTCTGGGCCAACAGACTTGAATCGCTTCAAGTGTTGGAGCTCAAAGCAGACTTCAGCTACTGTGGGTGGTTCAAATGAGGCTTTCCAAGGCACTCCACTAGGTATACTCATTAGGCTCGCCGGCGGGGCAGGCCAGCTGAATTGAATGCGGAAGTGTTCAGCCCAGCGGTCCATCCGCCTGTGTAAGTTGGTGATCGGCGATTCGTCAACCTCGCAAGTGACCTCGCTGACACCAGGTCTCGTGTGACCAGTAGCCCGAATGACTTGGAAGAGCTTGCGAAAGTTTCCAGAGTGGGCTAACGTTTCCATCTTTGAGGCGCGCTGGGACCGCCAAGTTTCGAGATCAGCCCACAAGCTTTGCTTAAGTTGTTGGCTGAGGATGCGACACATCGCACTGCTATTTGAATCGGACCGGATAGCTCTACGACGATTAAACACTTCCAGTGAGTGTGCAGAAATCAAGCCCCTCAGAGGGCGCTTTACGGTTCCGCAGATTGAATGACCGGAAGTTAGCATCGCTTCACGCAGGAAGCCTCAATGATTTTCTATGTCACGAGATGGAGTACTAATGAATGCATAGGACAAGGAACCTTGATAGCCTGATCGAAGAGAGGGGTCAGCCAACCTGTTAGTATCGAGCGTATGGTGCTTTCGTTTTGAGCAACGGCCGAAGCGCATGCAGATGTCCGCGTAGACCAAAGCATGATCTGAATCGAGGTACGTAGACCAAATCGGTCTGCAATTCCGGACGCTGCCACGCCATCTAAAGCTGATTACAATGTGATCTATTTGTGACTATGCTTGCGTTGGCGAAGGAGGACGCCAGGTGGCAGCGCGCCTTCTGGTATACCTGAAGTTCGTACTTGAGAGAAAGAGACGGTGGACTTCACACAACGTGAGAAGCCCATCACCGTTGTCAGAACAGCTCTCACCAAGCGTGTGATTGCCATCAAGATGACGTTCTCATGGAAACAGGCGCCCTACTCGTGCATTTAGATCTCCGGCAGGGAAGATGACATCTGTCTTTTCGGCCTTGTTCAAAAGGTTGTGGAGACGACCATAAAAGTCATCCTTAACCGATGAACAGCTGCAGTCGCTTGGAGCGTAGGCAGAAATGACAAACAAATTGCGCCTCGCTTCACGATGTCTGTTACTTCTACATGAGCCTTGAAGCTGAACCGAACATAGCCGGCTATCGATTGGAAACCAGTTGTGTAATGAAGCCCCCACTATATCCTTCAAGGCGATACCGACACCAGCTAAGCCGGCTGTTGCCGCTTCCATGTCACCTGACAGACGTAGGTAATATGTGGTTTCAAGAGCAGCCGGGGACGACAACTTAACCACGGTTCTGGGGTTCTGCAATCGAGTCTCTGAAAGGCAACAAACGTCGATGCCGAGGGACTCTAGAGTGCCCACCAGGCCGGCCTGTAATCCAATCTGTAAGCGGATCTGAAACTTGGACACTGGCAGCCGGAAAAAAGAACGGGGTCAAAGGCTAAATCATGGCCGGACGATTGGTTTATCATCGAGACGGGGCATTAGAAGTACCTTCAACAGGTTGTGGATTATCAACAAGAGAAAAGTTGGCTTGTGGTACAAAAGCATGAGTAGCAGGAGAACTAGCAGCAGAAACGAACGATACAGTAGTAATTGTGAAATCCATGGTTTTCACAGTTGGCACGATCCTACCCGGTTTCCCAAGCCGAAGTAGGGAGTTGTCTTAGTGGAGGTCACCCCGAGCATTTGACTTAATAGCCTACCCGCAAGGCAGCGGAGCGAAGTCAGGGATTTGCGCCCAATGGAAGCCAATAAGTGCTTGCTCAGTTCATTTGCCTTTCGTTTGGTGAGTAGTCAAACCTGAGCCCAATCCTCTCCACATTATATATATATATATATATATATATATATATATATATTCACAGTATGTTAACAGACATTGTGCCATCAGGACCATGGCAGAAGAAAAAAAGTGAAGAAGATTTGAACACTAATGCGATTAAAAATATGGGAAACGCTTTTTTTGGTTTTACACACGCCAGTTTGTAGTTTTGTTTTGTTTTGTGAGCTTTTGTGTGCATCAAAGGGATGGGAAAATTGCAGAACAACATTGACGCCACTGATGTCCGTTGAGGGCCATGACGTCTAATGTTTCCAATCACTGCGATTCAGCATCTCGTGGTCCCCAACCTGGAAGGCGGACTGGTCCGACTGCCTCCAAACTTGAGGTTGCCTTCTTCATACTCCTTCTCCACGTCATCGGCTGTCGACCGCGGAACTTTTTCCAATCACTCCCTGGGAGTGCAAATAGCGCTCAACTTGGAAGGCGATGGGCTGGCATGCGCCGAACGTGCCCGAGCCAACGCATGTGATGTCGGAGAATAACGTCCTGAAGACTGGCACTATTCGCCCCAAACACGCGGTCTCGCACCT